GGGGGGGGGGGGGGGGGGGGGGGGGCGTTTTCAAATGGGGGGCGTTGATACAGGGTTGATCCCCCCGCCCAACCTTGCCCCCCTCGGTGTTTGCCATCGGGATTGGGTTTGTATTCGTCGCTTGGCAACGACGTTGTAAAACAAGCCAATTAACTTCGTGAAGTGGCAACCAGGTTACCGTTTTTTTTATTTCTACCTCTGGTTTTTTGTTGGGCGGTAACCATAATGGTGGTCGAGTAGATCATGTTGTGCGGGGTGGAGAAGCCTCACTCCNAGCAGGATGCAGCGCACCCTTCATGCGACTCGCCGAATATCTCACGGCGCTTTGCGCTTGGTGATGTGAGAGCCTGGTCCGGTGAGAACCCGGCGTGATCCGTCCCGGCTTTGTAGGGATGCGAGGTCAATGGTCTAACGACAACGGCATGCACGACTATGAGTACACCCCCCCCCCAACCTTGTGGCTGAGCCGAATGGCCACCTGTGCAAGTCTTTGGGTAAACTATTTTCCTAGTCACTTCCTTCCGTCCCCTCTCCATTTGTGACGTTCAAGTGTGGCACTTGCTCTTTTTTCTTTCGTTACACACGCACCGCTGTCTTCAAAGGGAAAAAAAAAGGTGGCTGTGCTCTGCCTCAAGGGGTGGAGTTGGCTTCTTTTTCACGAATGTCTACCTGCGCCGACCAATCGTGAACCCAGGAGCACGACGATCGTCAGGGACGCAGGGATAAAGGAGGCGTTGGATGGCTCACGGGCCCCCCTCCAACGTGACCGACAAGTGCAAGAAGTGAATGGGGGGGTCAATCACGTATCGAACAGCTTCGTACTGCTTGAACGATACACACACAGGGTGAACGGGGAGTCGATCATGAACGCATCGGAGAGCTTCATACCTACTTCTTGGAAGGAGAAACAAAGTACTGCTGTACGCAACTCTTAGTCTCTGGCTTCGCTCAAACCATTGACCAATCGGTACCGTCGACCCATGTTGAAATTACACCAACACCCCCTGTGTTGACTGTGAGCCCTGTCCGATATGAACCAAAACATGCTGCAAATGCCAGACAGAGATGTTGGTTGCTGATGTTAACTTCCTCAAACAACAGCGAGTTGCAAACAAGTCCATCTCGTTGCGTCCCCCATGGCGCACGACACAGGGTGCGAGTGTACGTACCACACCATATTTGTCTTCCAGCGCGTTGGCTTTGTGTGCATGACGGCCCGAGCACGAAACGAACGGCCGAATTCTTCGATGATTAGAAGCATTCCATTTTTGCCCGCCGAAAACCCGCCCACTACTAAACCACATGCATGATACCGTTGTTGTATCCTTCCCTTTTCTTTTCGTTCGCCACTACGCGAAAAACTCAAAAGCTCCGAAGGACCCCTTGACAACTTGTAAACAATCCACCGGGCACACGGTCATGCGGGGCGTTTCTAACGCTACCAAACGCCAGAACCAACCCGGATGTCCGACGGTCACCATGACAACGGACGGGCTGGGCTATCTACTCGCGCAAGTACCCGGGAGAAAAAAAACAGCTCGCAGCCACAACCACCCTGCGCCTGTGCTTACCAATAACTAAAACTCGTTTAATTGTTCACCCTGTAAGTGTATTGAACGTACGTTTTCGTTTATTCTTGTTCCATGTACGTTTTCTTTATTTCTCTGATACCCCCCCCCCCCCCC